TTAAACATGCAAGAGTGAGTGTTCAGGCATACATTGAAGGGCTGTCGGTTTATGTCATCGGGTAGTCCAGCGTGAATGTCGGACAATCCGGTGGTTCTAGGACTTAGTGGGAAAAGGACATACTGGGAACATCGGACTCTCCAAACTAAGGTCGGACTCTCCGGTATGGAGTCTATGCTCTTGTGTAACTCTCTGTCTGTGATTTATAACTCAACCAACACTCCGGTGCATGTGGCGGAGCCTCCGGTGAATTATAAGGGCTTAGCCTCCTCCGGTGGTCAAAAATGAGATATGCCCTTTGGTGCCAAAGTTATATCTAGGTGATAGAGGATATTCTATGGAGCACAACAAAACTCGTTTCACCATTTTTGAGGTGAAATGCACCTTCTATGGATTTTACAAGTGTAGGTTGTGCACACATGCAGAGATTATAGGACACTCGAACTAAGATAGAAACGTCCAATAAACACAGGCTGCTCCCAGGTTTTGGCTATAATTCAACGTACACTCCGCCAAAATGATGGACCATCCAATAAACGACGAACAACAGCTGTGCAAACATGTTAGGATCGATTCCCGGGGCATCCGGACTCTGAATTGAGTGCGGTTTGTTCCTATGGCTTTCTAGTGATGTAGGGAACCTTCTCCAAGTTCTAGATGTGACATGCATGGGATTTGGTGAGCTCGACCCTATCAATGGTGGAAACCACCATTGGAGGCCAAGGAGCTCAATGGGATGGCCATGTGTGGTTGGGGGAAATAGTTGGGGACTTCGGGTACGTGCTCACCATGCCTTGGGGAAGCTCCATCTATAGCAGTTCGGACCAGAACGCCTTGTGGTGGGAGATGGGCGTCGGGCTTGCTCCATGGCTCGAGGAAGAAGGTGACGAAGCTTGGGGCCATCTCTTCCAACACCGGTGAGGTGGTGGCGTGGGGAAGCTTGCCGGCGACAACCTCCATCATGGCTGCAGCAGGGGCGTCCTCCTCCTCTCCTCTTCTTCCTTCCTCTTCTCCTCCTTTCTCTTCTCCTCTCCCTCTCTTGTTCTCTGGTTTTCAACGTGAATGGCAAAGAGGATGAGGGGAGAGAGGGCTGATGGGTTTTGTAAGATGGAGTGCTGACATGTGGGGCCTAGTGGTGTGTGTGTGACAGCGTAACATTTGCATGTTATAGGTGTCGGTCAAATTTGATGGATAGTCCGCTAGAGGCGTCGGACGATCCACCAGTGTCTGACCGTGTCTGACAGACTGACTGGCTATGCAGGGGTTTCGACGGACATCCGCCATGGTGAATACTCCGTCAGTGCACGGGTTGGCCAAGGTTATCCTAAGTCTATGAGATGTCTTGACGGACGATCTGGTGGTGATGTCGGACGATCCACCAAAACTAGCAGTGCTCTGTTTTGGTGAGTCTAGGCACAAGTCAAATTCTAGTTTTAATTATAAATGCACATGATGCTTGTGAACAATTGTAGCAATTTTTGGGTCGTGACACGCCCCTACAAATCGGTTTCTATGGGTGGCTTGGAACCGTCCCTATAAATCAATGATTTGTAAACACGGTTGTTTAGAGGCGGCTGGGGAAACCGCCCTACAAACCTTTACGAGCCGCCCCTACAAATCCTTACGGTAAAAACTGGACCTGCGAGGGTATGACCACCCCCAGGCATTGCATTAAGAAGAAGACCTTCTCACGCATGCCCAGAAACCCCCCGAACCCCTGTCCCACCCTTACACAGCGGCATCGTCGCCCTGTGAGAACGGACCCGTCCTTAGACCTGTGCTTTGGCGTGGGACAGACGAGGGGATTTTTTTAACCCTAGCCTGAAATTCGCTCCCACGGGGAGTCGAACCCAGAACCTGAGGAGTGCCACCGAGATGCTCTAACCAGCTTGGTCTAGAGGCCCTTTGGCACAAATCCTTACAGTAGCAGTGATATATTATAACTTTTCTCAGCGGAAGTATGAGATTGATCATATGACCAAGCTATGTCTGGCTTTTTTTTTCCAAAGCAATGCAAAGTTGACGTTGCCGAGCATAGCGTGCACTCTCAAATGTCACTATGCACGTTCACAATAAGCATACATTCATTCTTGCCACAATTTGATGCACGGTTACCATGGAATAGTGGTTGGTTACAAGTTAATCACTTGAGGTTTGCATGGAATAGTGGTTGGTTGCCATGTCCAGCCAACGTTGCAGTGCCTGCAACAAACAAGGGGGGTCCGTAGTTTATGCAGATTCTCATAGTGCGCTGCTTGTCAATTGTTGGTTGCCTATGCTCTATTTTCTAAGTTGTCAATTGTTAATGGTATCCGGTTTGTGTGGCCGCAATTGTATGCCTGCGACCTGAAAAAACTGTTACACCTCGTTCCATCAGGTCGAGATTTCATATAGGTTGACGATACACTGATGACTCATGCGTGAATGCAAGTACAGATTCTCTCGATTCTTGCTGGGGTGTAGTGGCTAGCAATTTTGGTCTGTCTTGGAATGGATTGTGGTGAACTGGTGGTATAGGCTTGTTGGTCCGAGCAAGAGCTGTTGTGCATGGCCAAGGCGATCTTTTGGTACATCTTTAGCTGAACCATGAATCACAGTTGAGTGTACACCAGGAGCGAAATCTCCTCTTCTGCCCATCTTGTTTGCTGATGCTTCACATGCCCAGATACTCCTTTATTTTTGAAGTATGATTGACACCTCGAATTCACGAACTGGCTACCTCGATCAAAAGATTGGAACATAAACCTGAAAAAAAATGTGTGTAACATGCCTTCGATTTGTAAATAGCCGCAGTTTCTTAATCTGGGTGTAACCAGGGATAAGAGCGATCCGCACTATAACCTCTTATCTTCATTCTTTTCAGATCGTTGTAGCTCGTAGCTACTAGATATATATTCTTGTGCGTCAATGTATAGCTTAACATCCGTTGGGCATTTTATATAGGCAATACTCGGCAAATTAATTTCCTTGACTGTTCTACATTATTTCAGAAAGGTGGGGGACCACAGAGGTCAGTCATGTGAAACACCTGTAAATGCAATAAAAGGAGAGATTCACTTACTAGTTGCACTTTGCTTTTCCACCAAGCTCACTTGATAACAGAAGATATGTATTTTGAATTGGGACAACAAACAAAAGTAGATACAAATAAATCATGGAAAAATGGGTAAATTTTAGAGCCGTTGACAGCACGCCCAAAGATGCATCATTTGGGTATTGGCCATGTTCGTTTCTCTTATAATCCGTCTTTTTCAGCTTATTTTTTCAATCGTAACAGTGTTTTTCTCTCGCAACAAATTAGCCGGAACAGTATTTCGGCTTGTTTTTTCAGCGAAGCGAACGGGGCCATTATCTGAAAGAAAAGCCACGACACAATAGTAAAATATGTACATCTATTACCCTAGTAGATAAAAATATTAATGTTCAATAATCTATATTGGTATCCATCCAGTTCGTGTTCACCTGGTCATCTCATTTTTTCCCCATTCCATCCATCTATTCCACACGAAGCAGCACTGGTGGAGTCGGATCTATTTAAGTTTGACCAAATATATTAAAAAATACTTGTACTTACGATGTGTAATAAATATCATTAGCTTGATAATAGAATATACTTTCATAATAAAATTATTTAGACACACAAATATTGATATCATTTTATATAATACTTGTTCAAACTTAAAGAAGTTTAACTTCTTGGGAAGTGAGACGTACACTTATTTTGGTATAGAGGAAGTACACAATTAACCTACAGCGGTCATGTCTTCCTGGAGCATCTGGCAATCTTTTCGGAGGTCCCAGCTTATTGGGTTTAGCTGAGCACACTGTCCAGACACCCAACTATGAACGGTCGACGTCTCACTTACACACCCTGATCGGGGACGCTAACAAACCGTCGACAACTTCATCTCCACGAACAAGGACACTACTAAAAACTCGAATACTTCTATGCAGAGATGAAAACGGATCAAATACGGACGGATATCACCGATATTACATTTGTTTTCATATTTCTGTCCGGATGCGGATTTGAATACGGATAGTATCAACTATATCGGATAGGATACGATTGAATATCGACATCATAAATATACGATTTGAGTATTCGAATACGGATACGATATCAGATGTTGGATATCCAGACTCAGATACGGATAAATCTCAACCCCTCTAAACGGATTCGATTTCGAATACGGTCGGAAAATATCCGTACCGTTTTCATCCCTACTCCTATATATGCAAAAACCCATAAAAAATATAAATACCGACAGAAAAATATTTTTCTGACGATGTACTAAACAGAAAATAATCCACAGAAATATAACAAAAAAAATTGAATTTTTCTGTCAATTCATTTTCTATTGATCTTACAAGCACAGAAAAATTATATTCACCTAGATTAAAAATAATTTTTCTATGCAAATATCCACACAAAAAAGGAAATAAATGCATAGAAGAAAATATGTATTTTTCTATCGATCTAGCTGAACTCACAAAAAAGGAGTTAAACACATAGAAAAAATAATTTATTTTGAAAAAGTGGCAACAACATATTAAAATATATGTTGTCCATACAATAATTTCATGACACATCACAACATAATAAATAGAATACATATAAAGATGGTTTCCCAATGTCCAGCACATTTATAGGTACATCTCCGTTCGCGTGCCCTTAAACCCGGCTTGATCCGCTTTTTTTTCATCCGGAACCGTGTTTTTCTCTCACAGATTCTTTCCAGTTCATTTAAATTCCTCCAGATTCCTCCAAATCCCTCCAAGCGAACGGGGCCAGATGATGTCCAAATATTCCAGCATCAATACATTCAAAAACATTATTATATACTTTCTACAACTAAAAAATGGCAAATGCAAATACATATATCTCAGATGCCTTGAAAGCCCTCCTACAGCTGGTGCACGAGACACATCTGTTTGTGTTTCTTGTTTATCTACTGCCTGTTGGATGGTTGGCTTGGGTTGCTGTTCTGCAGCGGCTTCTAAACCTGTGCAGTTTGAGGACTGATGTCTGGACGCCGCTGGCAAAGTGACATAAATTTTGTGCATGCTTCGTTGAACATAACATGTTTAAGTTGTTATACATGTCTAAAGATTACAAACATAGAAGACAACAAATGGGGAAAAATAAAGCAAAGTGTGCAACGAATAAGTAGAGTGCTGCATCACAACCAACAGTGTAACAATGGATTGAGGGCCTACAGAGTAACTTGTACACAATATTTTGGCCTATTCGCTTGAACTTATCAACCGGCTTATCAGCTAGAATCTACAGTGTTTTTCTCTCACAACAAATCAGCTTCAGCTGGCTTATCAGCCGGCTTTAATACCAGCCGAACAGGCCTCCTAGGCTGTAAATTATGCAAAACCTTCAACTTCTTTAACATTCCATCAACTCTTAGAGGAAACAAAATGTGGCGTTGTGTTGCATTACAGGATTGGCTTCTTATATGATTATTAACTTCATTTGGGTACAAAAATACAAATGAGCAACAATATTAAGCTATAACCATATGCCAGAATTATGAGATTGGTAGCTTTTAAGCATTACCTCAGCCGATTGGGCACCAAACCGGTTAGCAAAAAGAAGCTCAGGTAAACTGTTAGTATTGAACCCAGCAGAGGATGCTCGAGAACAAGCTACGACCAGATATTGTTTTAGGGCGCTTAGACCCACATCGATTGCCCTAAAAGTTCTTTCCTGCACAAGAATTTAAATTGTAAATTAGCCATAAATTACAAAACATGTCTTATGATGTAACAACAAACTGATTCAATAGGTCATGCTAGACTCAGATAAATCAAGTTACGTGGAAAAGAAGAAACAATTGAAGAAGAAAAGACATGCTGAGGCTGTAACATGTCCCAAAATAAAAAAGTGCAGAGGAACATTATCAGGTATGAACATAGATGAACTAAGCTAACAATATTAAGAAACCAATTGACCGCAGAAGGGCAATCCAAGCACAAAACTCATCCTACCTACTAGCTCCACCTGATGTGGCATCTCCAGTACCCTGAACAAGGCAAAAAACACTCCAACATTTAAAAAACAATTGATTGGTACTTACTCACTGCATACAAATCTTTCCAGCTCTATGGCCTTGAAGTTTTGATATACCCTGAGAAGCATCAACAAAAAACATAATCATAATTTTTTTTGAACAATTTTTTTCTAACAACACTCAGTCACACTCACATGTCAGCAAGATCGTAACAAATTTAAATCACTAAATCTGCAGCTCATATGACATGGTTTCTGTAGTAGTGCTACAGTTCCTGAACAAGTCTGTCCAAGTATCTAACAGGACCAACAGCCATTTGAGTTGCAACTTCCAATCTCCAAATATGTGAAATCTAATCTAAGTACTAAACAAGTATCAAATCAAATCAAATGACGAGGAACCATTCAAAAGCCACGGCCTCCCCACCACACCATACACGCACGAGCCCTAATCCATGCCTCAGACTTAGAGGAACTGGTGTAGAAACACCGGATTGAACACCCTACCATTGAAACCGAGTTCCCCAATGCCGGATTCAAGATCCTACCACCCAAACGAGTATCTTAGTGCCCAATCCAAATCCCCGTTACCTCAATCGAGGTTCTTCACACCGGAATCGAGCTCCCATCGCCATCGTTGCTCCATAGCCATGCCAGGCAGATCCCATCTCACGGGCCTGGGAGCGGCGGCCTGCGGCGGCGCACGGGAGGACCGCTCGTGCGGGAGAGGGCGGTCGGGGACGGATCTCGGGGTGGCGACCGGCGACAGATCTTGGGGCGGCAGCCAGCAGCCCGCGGCGAAGAGGCCCGCGCACGGAAAGGGCTCCGAATCGGGGGCGGCGGCCGGCGCGTGCCTAGTCGAGCCGAGCTCGCGTGGGTGCTGCTGCGGCGGCCGGCGCGTGCGTGAGTCGAGCGAGTGCGGGCGAGGGTGTTGGGGTCGAGTGAGCGGGCGAGGGTGTTGGGGCGGCGGGCCAGGCAGGTTAGGGTTAGCACTTTTTGTTTTCTATTTATTTATTTTTATATTAATTAATGTATTTTCTTTTCTGGCGAACGACGCGAACGCCAAAAAAAAAAAAAAAAAAAGCGAACACCAAAACAGAGAGCACGAACGCCAAAACATTGTGGTCGATTGGATTTTCCTGTGCATGTGTAATTTTAATATGTGCGTTTTTAAAAAACCGATAGAATAATAACAATTTTCGTGTGCGTGTATGTTTTTCCCATGCGTCTTTAAAGAAACTGACAGAATAATAATAATTTTCATGTGTATATTCTCACGCATAAAAAATCATGCAATTATTCTGTGGGTTTTCATATTTTTCTATTGGTTTTTTTTTAAACCCACACTTTCATTACCAATTTTTCTATGAGTACCGAAAAAAACACACAGAAATTCATCACCACAGGACTATTCGAATTTCCATCAGTGACTCAGTGCAGGCACATGGACGTTAGTGTTAAGGCCCAATGACCATTACTTCCTCGAACGAAGGTAAAACCGAGAGAAACTCTAGTCTTCTAATTTATGAGCTCGTGCTCCTTGTAGTCACCTAAGACAAACATGTTGACCCATCTTAGGCCCGAGGAAGGGTAGCTTCATGGACATGGCAAACATGTCATCCTCACTGTAACACCCTCTGTGTTACATGGTGTTATTCCTGCTAAATGTTTCATAAGCATCTGAATTTTGTGCATATGTGTATGACATGAATTATAATTCGATGTTTGGCACTTGAAACATTCATACGAAACATGAGTCCGTGGTTACGTTTCATATAATACCGTTCTAATCCAATTGTTCTAGAAACAAAAAGGCTAAAGAACGTTTTGTGAACGGCGATAGTTAGCTAGTCGAGGGCAAGGATAGTTAGATAGTGTGTTCATAGGTCGAAATGGGGATTCGACGTGAAATCGTTCGGGTGCGACGTCGTTTCGCGTAGGTTTACAAATGGGTCGACGAAGCTGCCTTTGGCGATGGTTGTAGAGCAATCGGCTTAGGGTGTGGTGCGATATCTTGGCTCCGTCAGATAGTCCAACGTACCCTCTTGTGCATCGAATAGTTAGTTCGGCTTTTGGAGCATCGTGTACGAGTTTTCTGCCTGCTTTAAAAAGCGTGCACGACACTTGAGTTGGCGCCGGGCGCGGTCACCACGTGCTTAGCTCGCTGCTGGCTTGCCAGCGCACTGCCACACCGGCCGCGTTCGCTGCCGCGCTGGTCGCGTCCCTGTGATGCACCTGGGCGTGGGCACGCGCGCACGGCACTTGTGCTGCGAGTCTTGGCCGCCTGCCACCGCGCTATCCGCGACCACCGCCACTGTCGGCCTGCCGTCGCTGCTGACCCGCCCTGCGTGCCGAGGCGCAGTCCTCGTCCTCATGCCGCCGTGACGCTGACGCGCGCTGACCCTGCGTCTTTGGCCTTGGCCGTTTGCTGCCCCGCTGGCGCGCGAGTCATCTCGCCGGCTGTTGCGCTGCGGCCAGGCCACCGACCAACTTTGCCGCGCCATGCCCTGCTCTGCGCTGCCTTGGCCGGGAGCGCGCCGGGCCCTCGCTACACGCCGCCCATCGCCACGCGTGGTTCTACGCCCGTTGACATCGCTTTGGCTGCTCGTGTGCTGGACGACAGCCTGCCCCGCCGTCACCTCGGCGTCACAATCACGTTGTGTCCCATGTCGGACGCTGCCCGCTGCGTCGCCGTGCCGTTGCCCCGTCGGCTTGCTGCCGCGCCGTGTTGACTGGCGCCTGGAGCCACGTCCTGCTGGTCCCCCATGGTTGTGCATGCTAGTAATTGCATTGACATCCACCGCAGGTCTGAGCCAAGCCGCGCCAGAGCCCCGGTCCTCGCTGTAGCCATGACCGGCGGGACCTTTTTCCCCTAATTCACCGCAACCGTAGTACCATAATCAAATTTACCACGTGTTCGACTCCGCCAATTAGCCTGCAGCCCTGTCGACCCCACCTTGCCGTCTGTAGTTCGGTCCTGTGCTCCAATTTCGAATCGCCGCTCGCTGGGTCCATAAGACCATGGGGTCCTATGCCGTCAGCTAACCAAGCAACCAAGGCAGCTCGGTCAAATTCGTCGCGCCACTAGCCTCCCTTCTAGTCGGTTGTCACCGTGCTCACCACAGCCTAGGTCCTACCACCGTAGAGCAGCCCCTGGCACGGCTGTGCTCCGCTGCACCGCATCGCGCGCACGTGGCCGGCTCGGCCTAAGCCATCTCTGGTCGATTCATCGCGCCTTTCGGTCTCGCGGTGAGTCGCTAGTGCTCGTCTGCTACTTGCTTTGCCCCGGCCGTGCTGATGTTCACCGGAACGGCGTCGCCGTACTTGTAGGGTGCCCGCCGTCGTGGTCCGATACCGCTGCGACGTCCCGGTGCGTGTGTCTCCGCTCTGCACTTCATGTTCGCGCATAGGTGAGTGTCGGCTCGTTATTTTGGGATGGGGAGGCCTGGGGTGGCCGGCGTGGGTCACCGGTGTCAGCCCCGTTGCGCCGGTGTGCGCGGGTGGCCGCGGGGGTGTCGCCAGTGAGAGGACAAGTAGTTCGGAGGGCGTATCTGTAAAGCTATAGACTAGCGAAATAGTACCGTAGAGCTTGTAGCAAATACCGAATTGTTCGGGGGTGCCCGTGCATAATTGCCTTCACGCGCAGGCTTTCCCCCGTCGTAGGCCGCTGGCCGGCTGGGCCGCGCCTCCGCGTGGGCCGCGCGGTGGTCCGCTGACACGCGCGGGCGGGAAAGCGGGATGGGCTGAACCAGCGAGTGTTGGGCCACGGGGCCAGGATTCGTTTTCTTCATTTTCAGTAAATTTGAATTGTTTATTCATTTTGGTTATGAACTGAACTTCGATAATTCATAGTAAATTACGTAGTTGTCCTAAAATAGTGAGACTAATTTTGTTGGGTTCGCAAAAATCTCATCTACTTGTTAGTACAGTTAGAATGCAATTAACTGTGGCAGGTATTGGCTCATAAATTCTAATTAGAAGGCTTAGTATTAGGTAGATTAATAATTGTAGGAATTCTTGTGGCAAATCGGTAATAGTTTTAGCTCTAAAAATTTTACAGTAGGTTCCCGAGGATGTTATGTACTCGCTGTAAAAATTGGTAGCCTTAGAACGAGTTGCTTAGTAACGTAGTTATTATCCTTGCTTTATTGAAAATATCGTAAATCGACATTAGGAGTAGAAATATCTGTAGTTGCTATAAGGATGTACGTCACGTTCATACTTGTTAGTGGGGTGGTACGTAGCTTAGCCTTAGTGGGTAGACCTCACTTAATAGTTTAATAGATGTACTTTTAGGTTAAGAGTTGCTGTTGTCATCTTATTAAATGTTGCATCATCATTTCATGTAGATCACGAACATATAGATTTCGTACCCGTCGGCGAGCCGGAGTATGACGAGGTGATCGAGGAGTATGAGGGGGAGCTCTTCGCAGAGGAGGAAGCCCAGGAGCCTGTTGGTACTGACCTTGCTGACCCAGCACCTGCCCAAGGCAAGCCCCTGTGCATAACTCCTATTTTTAAATGATCACTGAATATATATGATATGCATTTACGTTACAGGCATTCTATTGAAACTACATGCATAAATATATCTACCATGAATCCTACTAGTACAGGTCAAGTAGCTGCTATGCTCAGGATATCGGTAGTGTGAGTAACCTGGCGTTACTCACAAATAGGTGATTAAACTATGACATCATGATGAAATAATGGAAAGGTAAATGGTGACCAGGCAGGGATATGGATTTGGTATTGGTGGTTGTGAGGGGTTGTGTCCTACGGCCAATAGGGCATGGCCCGGTTACACTTTTTCCCTGTCTATGTCGATTAAGGACCGGTCGTTGCATATGACTCTATGCAAGTCACAGATTATTGTCCCGAGCGTATACTTGGGTATGGGCGCAGGGAAGGCTTGCTGCTCTCTTGTCGCGGATCCGGCTCTTTCCGGACCGACTGATGGGAAGAGGAGGTGGTGGAGGTCCTTGCACCACACTGAGTCCGGGACTCAGGGGTGGGGGCTTGGAGTCCAAGTTTGGACGGGGACCTGGACACCTGGGATAGGAGAGTGGTGGGTTAGTCCTGCTTGTGCCTGGGGTACAAGCGGGGCGTGTGTCTTCGGGGCACCCAGCTGGGCACATTGATTCGCGAATCGCCGGGCTATCCGGTACGGCTTGTCCGTGGTTTAGCACCGTAGTAAGAACTGAAAGTGGAAAAGGATAAGAAATATAACTGATTGCTCAACCCTTGCTTGATAGTAAAACAGGTCACTACTAGAGAACAGACTTTAGAACGATGTCCCAATTTAGCATTAGCCTCGGCATTTTTTGCCCCCGAGACTAAAGGACCCTTTAGTCCCGGTTAGTAATACCAACCGGGACTAAAGGTCCTGCCCAATCTGTCGTCCATGAGGCGGGGATCTTTAGTCCCATTAGCCGGGACTAAAGGTTTACCTTTAGTCCCGGTTGGTAATACCGGTAGGGACTAAAGCTTTTAGTCCCGGTTTGGGTTATGCCCAGGAATAAAGATTAATATTTAGTCCCGGTTTGGACCCCTAACAAGGGACTAATTATCCTACCTATAATTTCGCTCAATTCTTCCTCCCGAGCCCGAGCCATTCCATTATTCAAACTCTTCG